CTAAACTCACAATGCTACAAAGACATTTGAATTTTTCACTAATATGTCATGAGCACTGCACCCATTGCAAATTAATGAGTCTCTGAATAGCACTGTGCATTTGTCATTTGAATTTATGCTAATGCACTGAGATCTCCTGATGATGTTGATAGTCCACAGCAGCTGCTCAAACTATAGAATATACATGCATGTTCCCTCACTTTTTATTCATCTTTCCTTGAATTTTTATGGTCTATCATTTGGACTGCAGTCCTGCTGCTGGTTATTGATAGGGCTGCTAATTCTGACTTTACACTACAGGCTTGACTCCCAACCCTGAGCAGAAGTAATGGACCAGTGTTGAGAGAATTATGTACATCACACAGCAGCAACCTCAGACTAGAGGGTCAAAAAGAGTTCATTGAAAACCAACGGTATTTACAAAGACTGTTGGCATGGTAACTGATAACTTCCCCCCTCTCCCCCCAATGAATTATACCAAGTATAACTTATTTCAATAAGTCTGGGGCTGTGACTGTGCTCACAGAAATTATATATCGTGGTGGATGGCATTTGTTCTTTTTTGCATGTAAAAAGAAGTAAAGGCCTCTCATTTACCCTTCCCACCCAGAAGAGGAGAGTGTGCAACAGCTAGAGTATGGTAGCAACTGCAAGATGCTGGCCAAAGGCAAGATGACAACCTTTCCATCCAGAGTTCAGGCAGTGCCATTGGGTAATGAAGGACAGTGTCAAACTGAATCCATCTGAGGTCCTGTCAAAGAAACAAAGAAAAGAACTGCTAGGGAAACTAGTGATAAAAGTTTCAAAATATTTATCTGCGAGCTGTTGTATATTGGAAGTTTGAATATTCCAGAGTAGACTACAGTCTTTATCAACTTTAGCTTTAAACATGACAATTATAGTGCTACTAATATACCCAGGAAACAATTATTTGAGCTGCCTAATCATTTTCAAACGACTCAGAAAAAATCAAGCAGAGATGAAATGAGTAGCACAGATACAGAAAGTACAGCTTGTTAAGAGTAATTCAATTTTTTTTGTTTGTTTTATATTCTTCCAGGTTTCACAGGGCAAGGGAGGCTTAGCAGTTTAATTTTGAAACATGTATGAGCAGTGATGCTGTACAATATACTATGGCCTTTTGTTTGCAGCAGGTTCTTTTTGAGAGAACGAAGCTGTGTCACATGAGAGAACTTGACTGAATTATCTGATAAATGTCAAAATTAGACAAATACACTCTGCCATCTCTTAAATACTATCAGGAAAGGGTTTCAAAAAATTAACCAGTTCATCTCTAGTATCAAAGAGAAACTCTGGAGCTGAACAATATATAAAAGGAAAAGAGAACAGACTGACTCCATGATCTTAAAGCAGCTCCGAGCAGAACTCTCAGGAGAGCTACTTTATATATATATATATATATATGTATGTGTGTATATGTACATGTGTATATATATATATGTACATCTAACATTCTAGCACCATCCCTGGTTAAAGGACTGCTTCAGAGAATTGCATTTCAGTAAGGAGCAGCAAATAGATACTTTCCTGTAGCGCTGCAGTTTTCCCATCAAGGACAGTAAAGACATTTTCACTGTTCTCAAAAAACTTTGAAATGTAAACTTGTTCGATTGATGGCTCCTTCTGGTCCTGGCAGCCTTTTTGATAGCTGGTGCTCTTTCTGGAATACTTGTTAAAAATGTCTCTGTAGCAAAGATGTTGTGTTTTTTGTTGTTTTTTTTTTTTTTTCACCCACATAATTTTTTTTTAAAGTCAGTGCATGGAAGAGTGGAGAGTGTCTTAAATGAAGCAGACTGACAGGTGAACACCTCTCTCACTGCCCTTGTACATTATAATAATTTGTGAGTTTAGACTGCTTGAAAGCAGTTCTTTCATTCTAAACCTTTGATTGTCTTGGAGCACAACTCCTGCTCAGGAAAAGTGGGCATGGCATTGCAAACTATGCTGGAGGCTGCGAGCGTGTCAAGGTTGGAGGCAGCTATGTGCACTACCATCACTTAAGACCAGTGCCTTCTACAGCTATGTCGTGGTTTGAGAGCCCCAAATTCCAATTCCCTATTTCTAGCCCCCCTCCCACATCTCAACCCAGTGTGAGATGGGTTTTCCAGACACCACACAAGACTCAAAATGGGGGGAAGAGAATATATTACAAGACTGTACACATAAATAAATACTATAATACATCTCACACACAATCTTAACTATCTCTACCGTGACATACAGTATTTACAATGGATCAAATCTCTTCTCCCTTCCAAATAAAAGTCCAGGAGGGAAGAAGGAAAAGACCCTTTCCACTCTTAGAGCAGCAGTCCCTCTAAGGCAGCAGTTTTTTGTTCTCTCTTCCACGCAGCAGCTGTGGCTGGATCTCTGCCAGTACACACGAGGGGGTCTCCAAGCCCCTCGGCCCTTCGTCTCCAACGAGGGTCTTCTCTTCCATGGGCTGCGTAGCAGGGACAAGACTCGCCTCACTACGTCATATGATGGGGTGTAAGACATCCCATGAAGGTCCCTCCCTCAGGGGATTCACCCCTGAGTCAGAACATCTGGGGCAGCTTTCAGTTGAAGGCCTTTGCCTCAAGAGTTCTATCAGAACTTCCGTGCTCTGATCTCAGGCTGCTAGCTTCTCAGCAGCAGCAAGGAGGGGCCCAAGGTCACCCCCTACACACATTCCATCAGCCATCCTGGTCCAGCTTCCAGGACGCCAGAGCTTCTTAGCTCCTCTTTCAGCAGTGCTGCTGCATTTTAGGACTCCTCTCAGGTGGGAGTCCACCACCCCCTCCTCTCTATGAGAGGAGAGGTCTCCAAGGAGTTTGGGGTTCTGGTTGCAGTCCTTACCCCCAAAACTCTCTCTCTGTAGTGGCTTAGTCCTGCTCTTTGCTGCTGGCTCTCTCTTGGCTCTCTCAGACAACTCTGTGTCTTTCTGCTTAGCTGCATGCTTGTTTTGCTGCTCCTTATCTACGGCTGGCTCTCTGCCACCGCTTCTCGGTCAGTGTTCTTTGCTGCTGCTCCCTTTGCTGCTCCCGATGCAGAAGCTTCCCCCAGCTTTCAGCTACAGACACTCAGTCCAGTTTTAACACTGTTCCGAGTCCCTGCAGCCCCCCAACTGGGGGCTGGGGAGGACCTGAGCCCCCAAGGGCTCCTCGTGGCCTTACAACATGGCCACTTCTCCTTCAACAACTACAACTACTACTACATCACCTTCTCTTCCGGTCTAAGTGTGATAATGTTTATATTTTGCAGGAGCGTTCATTGGGTCAAACCTCAAGGGTCACCACCCCCTGGGGGTTTACCATTTTATAACTCTAGGGGGGAAAACTGTTTCCCCCACCACAAGCTATTAACTCCTCCCTGCGTGGAGACTGACCAAAATTTGGAAGTGACACCAACCTGAAAGGTAGTGTTCCGTGTTCTTCCCTCCACCAGTGTCCACAATAGCTCACTTCTGACCTTTACCAGCAAAGAAACCCCTATTCTGGTTCAGAGGGAGCCCATCTGTTGAAGGCAGCCCAGCTTTCAGAACAACTTGCTTGTCAAACTTGCACGGCTCTTAGTTTTGGAAACATTTTGCTTCGTGCATGTAAATGGTTTCCTGGAGGTTGTCACATATGCTTGTTTCTCATCTCTCATGCTACCTCCTCTGACCCTGCTAACTCCATCATTGCAGTGTAATCGTAAAAGGAATCTTCCCAGTTGAAATAAAAAGCAGTGTCAAGGGAGGTTTCTGGATTAACACCTTGGTGCTAACCATGGTTCACAGATCTGGAGAAGATTAAACTTGCTCCATGTGAAAAAATTTTATACGTAGCTTTAACAAAAAAATAATGTAGTTTCCAAATACAAATAATCTGAGGCAGAAGTCAGCTTTTCCCACTCCACTTTTCCTTTCACTGTGCTCAGCGCAGCTATTAACTAGCTATCATCATTGTTAAAGATTATCTTGCTGTATAATAGCTGGGATTGTTTACCACATCAAAACACAAGAATCTTCAAGAGCCTCCCAGCATGTTTCATGGACTTAACCTTGTCCCTCATTCCCCCTTCACCAGCCTCACCAGCCCCCCTTTTTATTTCTTTGAAAGAATTTGTGCAAACTCAGATTGCAGATAGTGAATAATTCAGCCCACTGGCATATGAAACCATGGCGGAGAAAGTAGTTGGTGTGATTCACAAGGGCTACAATGTGCTTATAAAGAAAGACAGATAATCCTGATAATATGCTATGATAGCCATGGCTTTTGGTAAAATATACAGCACTCAGTAGTCTCTCCAGGCTCAAAGGAGACTGTGCTTCTCAAAAATGACAGCAACATTTTTAGGCTTTTGTAGCCCTTTACGTCAAAAACCCTTGCAAGTGATTTTTTATCAGTGTGCTTGTTAAGTGAGAGAATACTTGGTTTTATTTTAGTTCTATTCTAACTACAATGAGTTCTCTGTATATCTTTCTAATGTTTCAGATTTCTATAAAGATAGCAGTTTCTTTTCCAAATAATTTCTTAAAGAAAAGTGTGAGGGATGGAGGTAGTAACACAGATGAATTTCACATCCTAAAATTATAACACTACAGGGAAAAGGTTAATTTAAGTCAAAATCTGAGCATTCCAGACCTCAGATTCTCAGTGTCATTGGACATCTGGGGAATTGGGATTATGATTCTTAGATAATGTGAGTCAGTCTTGCCCCATTGATATCAAAGGACTGATCTATAGGCATTGGTGATCTGGGTCTCTGTCCAATTTCCTTAGAGTTCCAGATAGAAATGCTGCCTGCGGATCATTACCATCCCCAAAGGTCCAGCTTGCATTCAGTCTCACACCTCAGCATGTATTACAAGAGCCTAAAAAGTATCCCAAAACTGAAGAATCCCAACATCTCTTAAAAAAACCCCTATTAATTATATTGCTTCTTGTGCATGTTCGAAAAAAAAGCCACATTCAAAGCCTCATTCAAGGGCACAGTTAAGAGTTGTCTTTTTGCTAGTGTACCACAGGCAGATAGAGTTCATGGCCAAGCTGGGGACACCACTCAGCATCAGGAAGTGAGGGTACAGGCTGGAGGAGGATGCAGGTGGGAGGATTTCATGGCAATCCTTGTTCTCTGCATCTCTGACAGCTACTTACAGCTTTCAGCAGAACACGATTCACTGAAGAACAAATAAAGAGCTGGGTCAAGTACACAGGACATCTTTGAAAGTGTGAGTTCATCCTTTTAGTGGGTGCTGGCAGTTGGCAATTGAAAATGGCAAGAGTGTATGGTACCTTCTCTACAGACTGTGACACATCACAAAAGCATGGTGATAAATGTCTTCTGGCCTTCTCAGTGTCACGAAGTATTTGCATACCTTTAGGAAATTAAGCACATAGACAGAGAATATCATTTAAATATCCATATCCTCAAAGGGAAAGGACCCCGAGTTTGGTCCTTAGTCCTGAAAACTAGAGGAACCCTCAGATGGCATATTCTGGAGTTGAGATGATCCTGAACAAAACCTGGTACTGTAAACATTAGACATATCTCTGTTCTAAATATTTTTCCCCCAAGCTACTTATTTGATTTTCTATATGGAGCATGTCCAGATGCTGTGTGTGTTTTTGAAAGCAGATTCTTGCTTTTAAATTCCATATGTGGAATGAATGTTTATTAACATATCAAATTGGGTAGGATTTTAACTAAGAGGGAAAAATAAGGCTTTGCAAGAGATGAAAACTTTTTTGGTGTGTTAATCTTCTCTGGACTCACTTCTCAGCAGGCCTCAGTAGCTGCATTGAAGAGCAGCACCACCAACAACATCCCTTTCCTTTTCCTGGTTCCACAGCGTTGACATTTCCCTGTGAATGCTATGCTTGGTCCACACCTCTAATGATTCTATGGCTGTCTCTGGGGATTTGTCCTTTCTCCTTCTCAGTCCCTGCCTTTGCATAGTTCCCATGTGCTGTGGGGAGGCTCAGGAACTTGTCTGCTTAGCAGACTTGAAATCTCGGCACCAAGCAGTCCACCTGTCACAGCCATCAATCTTTACAACTGTTTTTGCTTTATAAGGCAGTGGAATCACCACATTTACCTTATAGTTCTGTATTTACCTACAGACAAAATGATGTGATTCCATTATGTACTTCTGTGGTGTATAGGTATTATATATGTGTGTGGGAATGAATCAAGATTCCTTTTCTAGTACAAATGCCTCATATTTTATGCTCTTTTTTACCCCTATAACCAGACTCACAGGTTGTAAAGATTCTGCTTTGCTCAGATGGACTCGTGGTCAAACTGAAAAGAAAAAAAAATGTTAAAAAAAATCACACTATACTTCTTAGTAAGTTCTCTTTTCTCTTTCAACTAGCCAACATAAAAACCTTTTCTCTGGGCTTTAAAGTACTAACAAGTGTTCTGCGGTTTCTAAGAGATTCTTTTTTTTCTTTCATAGCTCCAGGGTTACCACCCTAGTAGGTGTGGAAAATCTTTGTTCACTTCATTATAAGACACTTTTGTGTACCATCTAACTGAATTCGGCCAGCAAAGAAGAGCAGATATGTCCCATGCTGAATGCTTTTTTTCCTTGTCCCTAACATCCCAGGATATTGCACACTTTCATGTTCTAATGGAGGTTTCTTTTACCAGTGACCAACATTTTCCTCTACTCTCTAACGCTTCTACAAGTTTCTGACCTGCTATAATTTCCCCACCCATGGTGCAGTTGCAGCCAGCGTTCCTGTTGAGTACTGAGGAAATTAATATGTTGCCTAGAAAAATTGCCTTCACATTTAGAAAATCTGTATGCCAGAGGATGTTAGCTTGTGTACGCTAGCATCTTGAGTGTTCTCCATTGCATCTGTGTGAGAACTGCAGTGAAAATCAGGGGGGGAAAGGGCAATTCATATAATGAATTTCACTACAGGCTTTCTTACAAACCTTTGCCCACTTGTCACCAAAGCAGCACCTTAAGCTGCCAGTGGTAGATGTAGATAAGAAGCACTCCAGACTAGTGAAAATGAATTTGTTCTTTGAAAACATTGCATATACTATTTTTGTGTGACAATGAAAAAATGTCCAAGCACATTTCAAACACACATTTACTCAGTAACGTATTGTTATTACCCAGTTCTGTATCTGGGCTATTTTGAGAAACTGAAAGCGCTGCTTCTCTTTTAAAAGTAGCCACTTCCTCTTTGACCGTCTTCCCACTCTGAACATAAAACAGGTGCATCAGCAATATTTGGCAAGTAGATAGCAAAAGAAGTTCTATCTTTAATACCCAGCATTTCATGTAGTTTGCCTTATCTCAGTCATCAGCACTGTTTCAAAGCTATCGAGTATCACAGCACTGCCTACAAGCCCAGTTTGACAAGAGTTGGCAGGGGTTATAGCTGTGGGAGGACCTGCAGGAGGAGGTACTAGATGCTTCTGTGAGACAAGAGATGCCTGTTATAATACTTCCTTCATATTTCTCATTTGTTAAAACTCAGTTTTCTTTGTTCTTTTATGACAGGTGACTGAACAGATTATTTCCAGATGCAAACAGACAACTCATCTTACATCCTGGCAAGGAAAGTAAAATGGAACATACTTCATAGAGAAAGATGAATGCAAATGTATTTGGCAGACTCATAAACAGTTGAAAACAAGGTCTTACACTGCAGAGACTCAGGGAACCTTAGCTGTACTGCCCACACTACCTGCAGTAAATGAGTTGTCTGCCACAGGATGGTATCTTCGGATGTTATAGTCCTCTGCAGATTGCTTTTAGATGTCAAGGTACCTCTGCTTTACATTGTTTTAGAGAACAGAGGCAAGTAAGGCTTGAATTTAGAAAACACAGTCTTTCAACTGTTATTGGAGAAAAAAACTCCCCTCAGTTTCAAATAGGGAGCAAGAAGGAGGAACTGTCATGTGTTGAACTTTTGAACCCCCCAGACTTCGTTGTCCTGGGGATCTGGGGTAAAGGATCATAGGTTGTTGACTTCCAGTGTCATGGGCTCCAGGCAAAACAGAATGATTTGTGATGAAGTACAAAAGTCCAGAACTGGTGCCTCCTTCCCTTAGCCTGTCACAGACTTAATGTTGACCCCTGCAATAACCATTCAATTTTCCTCTCTTTTTCCTCTTATGATGCCTTTCCGTTCCCTGTTTTTCATCAGGAGAGTAAATCATAATCGGTGTGGTGGATTGTAAATATACTATATTAATACAATATAACATACTGTAAGTACAACTAACTGCAGTTACACTGCCCTGTTGCCTTTGATACGCAAAGCAAATACATTCTGATCTGAATAAACTATACAGTTACGTTTTTCTTAAAAAAAAGAGGAAAAACCCACCAAAAATAAGTGTTATAAACAATCCCTGTCATCATCATCATACAGAGACAACCCCAGAGTAACTCCACACTCATCTTCTCCTTACCAAACTAGAGGTCCTGAACACAGGAGCTGGAGGAGACATAGCATTAATGTAATACGTTAAGAGACACCTATGAGGTTTAGGATATATAAATGCTAATTGTGATTTACTTGAGTCTGTTTGTTATCATTTGCTGCCTATTTACAGAGATAGATGCAAAAGAGATTTCCATAGACTTACTGGTCACTTTTAGGGTCCTGGTCCTATGTTGGTGGTGTCTCTCTGAAGATGTCCACACTATTCCACACTGCATTAGTCTGTGCCAGATGTTTCTCTTCATTCATAGATAATTGCTTATAATACAAGTTGTCTTGCTTCAAAAGGATGTTTACATTGTCAAAAGAAAGCTAAAAATTTTTGTTTTGGACACATGTTGGCTTACATAGCATGCATTCAAACCATCCCATTCTCTAAGTTTTCAATGCAAGATGTTGAACATTGCTTGGGTTCTTCCATAGCATTTGTGGAATAAAAAATTATGTTCCAAAGTTGACTGTGATACTGCACTTCCAAATCACACACCAATAAATAATAATCCTGAAGTAAAGCCTATGTCACTGTTTCCCACAGCATTCTCCAGAAGAAACTGGATGCTTGTGTGTTGGATGGCTGCACTACATTGGGTAAAAGAGTGGTGGTGAATGGAGTGACATCCAGCTGGCAGCCTGTTACTAGGAAGATTACCCAGGGCTCTTTGTTGCAGCCAGTCCTGTTTAATATCTTTATTGATGATTGGAATGAGAGGATCGAGTGCACCTTCAGTAAGTTTGCCGATGACACCAAGTTTGGTGGGAGTGTTGATCTGCTGAAGGATTGGAAGGCAGTGAAAAGGTATCTGGACAGGCTAGATGGGCAGAGGCTAACTGTATGAGATTCAATAAGGTGAAATGCTGGGTCTTACCCTTGTGTCACAACAACACCAGGCCGTGCTACAGGTTTGGGGCAGAATGGCTGAAAAATGGCCCAGTGGAAAAGGACCTGGGGGTGTTGGTTGACAAAATCTAAACATGAACCAGCGTGTGGCCAAGAAGGCCAAGGCCATCCTGGGTGGTATCAGCGACAATGTGACCGGCATGACCAGGGCAGTGAGTATCCCTCTGTACTTGGCACTGGTGAGACCACGTCTCAAATCCTGGGTTCATTTTTGGGCCTCTCACAGCAAGAAACACAGTGAGGTGCTGGAGCAAAAGCAAAACAGAGCTGGGGAAGTGATGGGGGGAGAGCTGTAACCCCCCTTATGCAAGACCCAGAAAGGATCACTCTGCACATAGTCACAGTGTGACACAGAATGAACCTTTATTAAACATGGACGCCAGCTTTTATAGGGAGAGCAGGAACTTTTCTGGAACAAAGGGTGGAGACTGGGAGGAGTATTCCAGGAATGGCAAATCACAGCAACAAGGGGTGGAACTGTCTAAACATGGACAAATGTGAAACTGTCTCTGGGGAGAACAGGTGAAGCAGGTAGGACAAATAAGGAGAGGGCTTACATTGAACCAACAGGAAAAAGGGTAGCAGGGGTACAGTACCAGGAATAACACATTTTTATAATAAAATATATTATACTAATAATAAAATCATTGCACAACGGAGTAAAGGCACTTTGAAACAAACACTTGCGCAGTCCTGACAGGCACATTCAGCACACCACGAAGTAAGTGCATTCTGATGTTATTTCTTCTTTTTCTTCAGATTTCTTTTCACTAATTTTTCTCCACCACTCATAAGTCTCCATTGGGACACCTCCAACAGGGAAGAGCCTGGAGCACAGGCCTGATGAGAAGTGGCTGAGGGAGCTGGGGGTGTTTACCTCGGAGAAAAGGAGACTCAGTGGGGAACCTTCTCACTCTGTACAGCTACCTGGAAGGAGGTTGTAGCCTTGTGGGACTCAGCCTCTGCTCCCAAGTAAACAAGTGATAGGACAAGAGGAAATGGTCTCTAGTTGAGTCAGGTTTGGATATTAGAAAAAATTTCCTTACCAAAACGGTGGTCAAACCCTGCCACAGGCTGCCCAGGGAAGGGGATGAGTCACCCTGAAACTGAGTCATGCCCTGAACCTCTTCCAAAAGGTGTGTAAATGTAGTGCTTAAGGACATGGTTTGGTGGTGGGCTTGACAGTGCTCAATGACCTTAGAGGTCTTTTCCAACTTGAATTATTCTATGATTCTGTGATTCTATGACGTTGCTAAGAAGTTTGTCATAAGCAACAGGTTGGTGGGTACAACTCTGCTGCAGACTGTGAATACTTCATTGCAACCAGATCTGCCCTCCTTGTAAAGCCATTTAAACGCAGTCTGGAAAGGCATACCTGGCTCTGATGTATTGTCTTGCTTCCCACTTAATTTGCTTTAAGCAAGCTCATAATGAGTATCATGTAAATCCCATAACAATCACAAGGCAACATGTTTGAGGTCATTTTGAGCTTTGGTGAGGAGCTGTGGCCCCTTCCAGCCCAGCCAAGCCTTTGACATCTCTTAAAACTGCTCTCTTAGGCTTCCCAGGGAAGTGATGGAGTTAGCATCCCCAGAGTGATTTAAAAGATATGTAGACATGGTGTTTAGGGACAGGGGTTAGTAATGGCTGGGTAGTGCTGGGTTAGGGATTGGACTTGATGATCTTAAAGGTCTTTTCCAACCTGAATGGACCTATGGTTCTCTAATTCATATTTTTCCAAGGAAGTAGGTAATCCTATTGCATTTCAGACTATGGATACCTTCAGTACGGTGGCCTATCCAAGCATGTTGGATTTCCCATTGTATTTGATTCAATTATATGGACAACATTTCTGCTCCTCTAAGTGCATCAAGAGATTACTGATTATTATTCTTTTAAAGTATATGGGAAAATGACATTGTACAAATGAAATATGTAGGATTAAATAAGAATTATACAGGA